AGTTTAATTCTTTTTAAAAATAAAATGAAAGAAGAAACTCTTCCTTTAAATAAATTACTGTTTTCTATTTACCACGTCTATATGGCATATGTTTTCTATATGTCACGTTTATATTAATCAGTAAAAATTACGTACACGTTTCCTTTCAATGTGATTCTCCATGAAGCCCAAACTACATCAAACTAGAAATCTCCGCTAGATGAAGAGGAAATCCCTGAGGCCTTATGGACATAAACTCCGGGAGCCTTATGGGAAATGTAGTCTCTTGTGGATTTCCTCAGAGAACCCTGCGGGGAGGGTCTGGGTGGGTCGCTACTTCCGCACACGCACAGTGGGGACCTTAGGAAGTGTTTGCGTTCCTCCACGTGTGTCAGTACTGAGCGGCGGGTGAGCCAGAAGGGCTTGAGGGACAGGTGGAGAGCAGAGACCGGCTTCTCAGTTCATGTGAAGAAAGCAAAGTTGTAGGTAACTCCTATGCGCGGGGGCATTTGGCTCAGAGAAAGCCGAGTAAGGGCTGGGCTCCTTTCTGCCCAGGTCTGGCTGGGGCGTGGCGGGCCAGTCTGCGTTGCTGTGTTGTAGGTAGTGTGGACAGCGTAGGGAGCCTCCGCCTGTGCGTTGAACCGTAACTCACCTCATTCCACAAGATTTTTGACTCGCCGAAGGCAGTAAACTCCTTCAAAGCGGCGGGGAAGAGAACCAATACAGCCAGTGCCAGACACTGTTAAGCAAATTATTTTAAAGTATTGGCATTTGTTTATCACGATGACTTTGTAAGTGTACGCATCGTGTTACAGGGAGGTATGAAGCTGCTTCAAATCACACAGCTAGTTAGTGGAGGAGCGAGTATTCAAACTCAGTGCCATTTTACCCAAATTTCATTATTTTTGCAACATAGTACTTTGCCTAAAACAAAGAGTTAGTTTGTATTCTTCTTGAGGAGTGAATGCTAAATGAACTTCAACTTGTGATCATTGTTATTGAGAGAACTCTTGGTGTCTCTGCAGGAAGACTGTAATTGAACCTGAGGGTCCCTCGTGCGTATTCCTGCCTGTTTCAGGTTCCAGCGGCCCTGGTTAAAATCTGCAAAAAGCCAACCTAGGGCCACAGGATGGTGAGTTTAAAGAATCGCGGCCCAACGTGAAGGTTCCTGTTGAAGGAGTGTTGCTTCTCCATCAGATTAACCCCGGGAAGAGGCTCTCCTGACCTGTGACTTTTTTAACCCCATTTCAGTTGAGACAAGAATCAACTTCTGTCTCTACTATCTAGTGAGAGTAGGGCTTGACTCATGGCATTTACATGTAAGTACCATCAAGGACTGTGTTTATGGAGGTGTTGTCCCAAATGTTTGAGGAGAGAGGTGAGAATTACAGAAAATGAAGTGTGGGTTTATGTGGTCAGGCTCCACAGGAAAATGTGGAGCCTCACAGGAGGAGAATGAGGGTATGGTCAAGGGAAAGAAGAATCAAGAGCTACTACAGAAGAAATTCTGCTGCTTTCCTAAACACATTTATTCAGTCCCCTTCTCTCTTTCTCTCTCTCTCAGGCTCTCACAAACACACATTCACACCAGTGCGTTCCCTTCCTCATTGCTTCCTTCACAATTAAGCTGGCTCCTTAACTATTTTAGTTGTCATATTTGCCCTTTGGGGTTATGCTGATTCCCTTTCTCCCCTTACCTAAATGCAGAGCTAGTTTACAGAGTAATCACAGCTTCGTGGTGCTAGAAGGACTTTTAGGAGTCTTCTGGTTCTGCTTCTTCATTTTAAGGAGATGGCAGTTGAGTGCTAGAGTCCCACAGCTTGTTAGTGGCTGAGTCAGGCCTGAAATCCAGTCTTCAATTCCCAGACTGTTCTATTTCCTGCATCACAGTTCAAAAATTTTGCCACGGGTCTTACCTGGTGGTGCAGTGGTTAAGAATCCACCTGCCAATACAGGGTACACGGGTTCGAGCCCTGGTCCGGGAAGATCCCACATGCCGCGGAGCAACTAAACGCGTGCGCCACGACTACTGAGTCCCAGTGCCACAACTACTGAAGCCTGTGCACCTAGAGCCCATGCTCTGCAACAAGAGAAGCCACCGCAATGAGAAGCCCGTGCACTGCGATGAAGAGTAGCCCCCACTCACCACAACTAGAGAAAGCCCACGGGCAGCAACGAAGACCTAGTGCAGCCAAAAATTTAAAAAATAAAAATTAAAAAAAGTTTTGCCGCACCGCAACGGCATGCAGGATCTTAGTTTTCTGCCCAGGGATTGAATGGGTGCCCCCTGCAGTGGAAGCGTGGAGTCTTAACCACTCGCCTGCCAGGGAAGTCCTCTGCATCACAGTTCAGTTGGGCCACAGTTGCTTAATAAGTTTCTTTTGAAAACATGTAACAAGGAGTTTGAGTCATTCAGCAAATATTTGCTGAGTGTCTGTTGTGGACCAAACACCATTCTGGTACTTGGTGCACCACAGTGAGCAAAACAGAATCTATGTTTTTCATGGAGGTCGAGAAACAAAATTCAAATAAACAGATACACAATCTGTCATTTGATAGTAGGTGCAATGGAGAAAAAGACAGAGTAAGGGTGTACATAGTGGTGGTGACCGTGAGGGAGGAAGCTCTTTTATCTGACGTTGTCAAGAAAAGCCTCACTGCTAAGTGACCTGTAAGCAGAGACCTGAAGGAATTTAGAGAGTGAGCTGTGCAGTATCTCGATTTTTCCCTGTGGGAGAACAGCCCAGGCAGAAGAGATGTGGAGAGATCCTGAGTAATCATCCTTGGTATTTTGGAGGAAGAGCAGAAAGCTGAATGTGTGATCAGAGTGACTATAGGAGGGTGCTTGAAGGATTGAAGCAGATGAGGTTAGAAGAGGTGGAGCCAAGATGTTGTAGGGCGTTATAGACCTTTGTTTAAATTTTACATGTATATTTTTAAACTGTATATATTTACAGGTATGTGTATATGTATGTATTTGAAAAAAAATACAGTATAAACACTTAGAAAGTACAAATATGTAAAAAAATAAAATAAAAGTTACATATGATTCTGCTGTCTTTACAACCCTAAATAACAATTATTTACATTTTGGTAAATAGCTATTATTTATTTGCAGAGACCACCAAGCTTGTGTGTCTCTGTATCTGCGTACATATTCTTTTAAAAGGGGAGGGGAGGATCATGTTATATATATATATTTTGTGTGTGTGTGTGTGTGTGTGTGTGTGTGTGTGTGTGTGTGTGTGTGTGATACTTGGGCCTCTCACTGTTGTGGCCTCTCCCGTTGCGGAGCACAGGCTCTGGACGCGCAGGCCCAGCGGCCATGGCTCACGGGCCCAGCTGCTCTGCGGCATGTGGGATCTTCCCGGACCGGGGCACAAACCCATGTCCCCTGCATCGGCAGGCGGACTCTTAACCACTGTGCCACCAGGGAAGCCCCCATGTTGTATATTTTAACGTACTTTTTTCACCTACAAATATAAATGGAACCTCTTTCCAAAGCAGTATCTTTCTACAGCATCTTTTTGTTTTAATCAACACTGTTAATGGACATTTAAGCTATCATCTTTTTTTTAAAATCAACACTCTATTAATGGACATTTAAGCTATTGTCTGTGTTTTAATATTATAAGCAATGATATAAAAACATTTTTCATCTCTCCCTTTCTCCCCTTTTTTATTTTTAAAAATAGTCACAGTCTTATTGAGTGCTTACCACATATTGTTCTGAGTGGTTTCCATGTATTCACTTATTTAATCCTCGTAAAAATCCTAAGATGTGTGTACTATTATCATCAGCGTTTTGCAGATAAGAAAACTGAGGTATAGAGTAGTTAAGTGACTTTCTGAGGGTCATTGCTGCTAGTAAGTGGAGTAGCTGAATTTGAACTCGGTTGCCTGGCTCCGGAACTCAGGCTTTTAATCTTCATATCCATCAATTTTTATTTCTTTGGGATAAGTTTCTGGGAGAAAAGAAATCACTAGATCAGAAATTAACAATAAGTTGTAATAGATCAATGGGCAGAAATGTATACATCTACCCAAGAGAGACCATCCTTATCCACGTTTCCTGTGATCATATCAGGATTAAAAGTGGACAAGTTGGTCTTTCTATATAACATGGACTTCCCTGCTTGTTTGACAGGTCATTCTTCCCCCAGTAGCCTTTTTTGTAGCTGGCATATGGGTACTTATTTCTAGGCTGGAAAGGCAGGGGACTCCCCATGTCTTGTTTTCGTAGATCGGTGTCCTTTCTCATGAGCCACAGAAAGCGACCAACTTCCAGGCAAGATATCCATCCATCCATACGTCTATCCATCCATTTATTCATTCAAATTCCACTTCGCTTTCTGGTGAATTTGAAGTGACTTGTAAGACTCCATATATTAAAGTGGAAAAGTATTAATAGGTAAGAATATAAATGGGGAAAATATAGATTGAAATTTAAAGTGAAGAAAAATTAGAAAATTGATATAGAGGCCGTAGGGTCTGCACATACTTTGTAATGTTGAGATGCAAATTTATGCTTAATCTTGGCAGTCATAAAAACAGGATACCCAATCAGTGAAGTTATTGACCATGACCTAGAGAATAAGGTATAACAATTCCATAGATAAAGATTTTCCTGGCACTTATCATGAAAGAAAAAAATTTGATGATTTGTCATAAATGAGTAGCCGTTTTCATATGACTGTTTTTCAGTGTCCCTTTGTATAAGCAGAATACATGAGGCCAAAACAATGCTCAGTGAACTTAGTATTATCTTATTCCTTCTCTTCCTCTCCCTCTCTCTCTATATATGTATGTATACATATGTATATATATGTATGTGTGTATATGTATATAGTGGGACAGTTTTAATATGATTTTCTTCTATCACAAATTTTAATTATAAATCAAGTACGTAGTTTTTAGTTATTCTAGGTCACTTGCTGCAAACTCTGAACATATGAACATAATTAGAGGAATTGGTCAGAATCCCCTCCATGTGCCCCAGTGGTGCTCACTTCAGGTCGAAGATGAATGTACTGTTACAGGGATCAGTGACATTCCAGGATGTGGCCGTGGACTTCACCCTGGAGGAGTGGCAGCTGCTGGGATGTGCTCAGAGGAAGCTGTATTGGGATGTGATGCTGGAGAACTTTAGAAACCTCATCTCAGTGGGTAAGGACAACTTCCCTGTGTAACTCAGGATATACTAATAGTACCCTTCCTTTAAGACTTGAGAAACCTGTGAACATTCTGAAGCATTAGTAAGTTTGACCCTGAATTTTAGTGGTCAAAGAATCTTTTTCTTTGTTTTTGCTATTTCTGTTTGTTCATTTATGGCCGTGTTGGGTCTTCTTTGCTGCGTGCGGGCTTTCTGTTTCTCTAGTGTAGTGAGCAGGGGCTTCTCTTCGTTGCGGTGTGTGGGCTTCTCATTGTGGTGGCTTCTCTTGTTGCGGAGCACGGGCTCTAGGCTCATGGGCTTCAGTAGTTGTGGCACATGGGCTCAGTAGTTACAGCTGCGAGCTCTAGAGAGCAGGCTTGGTAGTTGTGGTGCACGGGCCTCGTTGCTCCTCAGCATGTGGGATCTTCCCGGACCGGGGCTCGAACCCTTGTCCCCTGCATTGGCAGGCGGATTCTTAACCACTGCACCACCAGCTTAGTCCGGTCAAAGATTCATAATCCCCTTTGGGGATCAGGTATTGTGTTTAATGCTTCTGCCTCCCAAATGAAGAAGGGTCTTTTCTGTTCTAAAGCTTGTTATCTTCACAGGCCCTAAGGCTCCAGGAGGCAAACCCGAATTGTGAGGTAGTCGTTTGTTCCTAGCACCTTGTCCCCAGTTCTGTGTTGTTTCCCATGAACAGGGTGTCCAGTCACCAAAACAAAAGTGATCTTCAAGGTGGAGCAAGGACAAGAGCCATGGATGGTGGAGGGAGAGAACCCACGTTGGCGCTCTCCAGGTGAGTCAGAGAAAGCAGGTAGATGGGAGTCTCTGGAACTGAGATCCCAGTTGGTGAGTGAGGTACAGGCACCTCTGAAATACTTTTCAGGAAGCACCTCTTAAAACCACACACCTTTGAAAGTGACTGGGTACACCTGACACAACATCCTCAGATCCCCAGGTGACACCTTCACTTCCACTCTTCCACGTGGCTGCTCTTTCTGTTTCTCAGCTCTTGTGTGGGAGGATGTCCTTCCTCTCTGCTCTGGCTCCTCACGCTGCCTGTTGCATCGAAGCGCTTGTTGGCTCTCGCAGTTCTTAGAATCCTCATTCTTTTTCCCTCCTCAACATGATGGCAGATCTTTCCATACATCTGTTTCTAATAATGTAATCAGATTGTGTTTATTTGAGAAATAAGGAATGAGGTAAGAGTCCAAATTGTTACACTAATAAGGTTCTCCCTTGATGGAAGGCAATCTCAGAAACAGTGAAGAATTGCCTTCTCCTCCATTTTCCCTAACATTATTATATCAGGGGACTTAGCATTTGTAGGGTTTTGAGCAGTGATTATGTTGTTTTGGACATGGTGTGGCACCATAGTAACAGTAGTCAGAGTTAACTTTCTTAACCACACAGTATATAAAGGCAAAAGTTGGTAAAGCCTAGGAGTCTTATGGTTGAGATCCCCAGAAATAATGGAATCTGTATGTGTGGAAACCAAAATGTGAAATTTGAGTTAAAGAGTGTGGTGTCAGGGGCAAAGCAGAGTTTTGGAGGCTAGTACATCTGGAAGGTTGAAAGAGGTTATAAAAAAATAGGATTATTTATCAGGAAAAATTCTTATCAAGTAGTAGAAATAACTGATGATAGAAGCAAAAGAATTGACATCTGGTCTCTTTTCAACGTTCTGCTGAGCCTCTGTGTTCCTGGGTATGTGTAGGCATTGGAGAATGAATCCTAGCTAGAAGTGGAGTTGGAGAACTTTCTACAAATAGGCCTCAACTGTGGCTTGGGTGGCTAGAGAGGATATAGGAAAGTGCCTATAGGTAAAAGGGAGTTAATGGCTTGACAGTTCGTTGGTGGTTGTGTGCAGGATGAGGAAGGAGAAGGGGAAGTGTGTGAAGGAGACTCGGGAGCATCCTAACAGGATAACTTAATTCGTAGATGTTGTAGATGTTGACTCTGGTCAAATTTCCCCAACCCAGTCTAGCTCTTCTCATTTCTCAGAATGCCTTTATCTCCTTGTTCCCCTGGTTACCCTCCTCATTCATTCCTCTGAAATGGCTCTCCCCATTCTCAGAGCTACTCTGCATCCTTGTTAAGAGCCCTTTTTAACTTTCTTTGTCATTGTTATAAAATTACTTTGTGCCTGTTTTACCATCTTTCACGGAATGGAAAGTCATATTTATAAATAGAAAAAGCTACTTGTTCTCATTATTGTTTTCCAGAAGCCTCCATTTCAGCAGTTTCTTCTTAATGCCCAGGGCAGGACAAATACAGATTTCTTTTTTGTTTTGTAGTCCAGAATGGGAGGCTAGACCTGAAACCAGAGACTTTTTGCATGTGTGTGGTAGAAAAAAATGTGTAATATGAAACTTATCCTCATTGGCAAACTTTTAAGTGTATAGTACAATATTGTTAACTGTATGCACATTGGTGTACAGGGGATCTCTAGAACTTCCTCATCTTGCAGGACTGAAATTCTAAACGCATTGAACAACTCGCCATTTCCCACTCCTCCCTGCCCCTGGCAACCACTACTCTACTTTCTGCTTATATAGGTTTGACTATTTTAAATACCTTATGTAAGTGCTATCATGCAGTTTTTGTCCTTCTGTGACTGGCTGATTTCACTTAGCCTAATGTCCTTGAGGTTCATCCATGTTGTAGCATATGCAGGATTTCCTTCTTTTTTAAAGTATGTATATACCATATTTCCTTTATCCATTCATCTGTCAGTGGACATTTAGATTGTTTCCAAATCTTGGCTATTGTGAATAATGCTGCAGTGAGCACAGGAGTGCTAATATCTCTAGGAAATCCTGTTTTCAATTTTTTTGATAAATACCCAGAAGTGGGATTGCTGGATCATATGGTGGTTCAATTTTTGATATTTTGAGGAAACTCCATACTGTTTTCCATAGTGGCTGTACCATTTTACATGCACACCAACAGTGTACCAGTGTTCTAATTTCTCCACATTCTTGCCAACACTTGTTATTATTATTATTTTTTTTAATAATGGACATCCTAACAGGTGTGAGGGGATATCTTATTGTGTTTTTGAATTGCAATTCCCTGATGATTAGTAATGTTGAGCATCTTTTCATATACCTGTTGACCATTTGTATGTCTCCTTTGGAGAAATGTCTGTTAAAGTTCTTTGCCCGTTTTTTGCTATTGAGTTGTAAGGGTTCCTTATATATTTTGGATATTAACGACTTATCCAATACATGTTTTAAAAATATTTTTTCCCATTCTGTAGGTTGCCTTTTCACTCTATTAATTGTTTCCTTTTCTTGATGGAAACTTTTTAGTTTGCTGTAGTACCACTTGTCTATTTTTGCTCTTGTTGTCAGTGCTTTTGGTTCCCTATCCAAGAAATCATTGTGAGCACCAATATTCTGAAGTATTCCCCTATCTTTTCTTCTAGGAGTTTTATAGTTTCAGATCTTATGTTTAAATCTTTAATACATTTTGAGTTGATTTTTGTTTGTGGTGTAAGATTGGGGTCCAATTTCACTCTTTTACATGTGGGTATCTGGTTTTCCCAGCACTATTTGTTGAAGAAACTATTCTTTCCCCATTGTATTGTCTTGGCACACTTCTTGAAGACCATATATGCATGGGCTTATTTCTGGGATCTCTATTCTTTTCCCTTGGTCTATATGTCTGTCTTTATGCCAGTACCATAAAGTACAGTTTTGATTACTGTAACTTTGTGATGTGGTTTCAAGACAGGAAGTGTGAGGCTTGCTGCTTTGTTCTTTCTCAAGATTGTTTTGGCTCTTGGGAGTCCTTTGTGGTTCCATATGAATTTTAGAATTGCTTTTCCTTTTCCTTTTTTTTTTTTTTAGTTAATTAATTTATTTTTGGCTGCATTGGGTCTTTGTTGCTGTGCGAGCCCAGACAAGGGCTCAAACCCTTGTCCCCTGCATTGGCAGGTAAGTTCTTCTTTTTTATATATATATCAATTTATTTATTTTATTTATTGATTTTTGGCTGCATTGGGTCTTCATTGCTGTGCACAGACTTTCTCTAGTTGCGGTGAGCGGGGGCTACTCTTCATTGTGGTGCACGGGCTTCTTATTGGGCTGTCTCCTCTTGTTGCAGAGCACGGGCTCTAGGCGCGTGGGCTTCAGTAGTTGTGGCACATGGGCTCAGTAGTTGTGGCTCGCAGGCTCCAGAGTGCAGGCTCAGTAATTGTGGCACACAGGCTTAGTTGCTCCACAGCATGTGGGATCTTCCCAGACCAGGGCTTGAACACGTGTCCCCTGAATTGGCAGGCGGATTCTTAACCATTGTGCCACCAGGAAAGTCCCGGCAGGATGATTCTTAACCATTGCACCACCAAGGAAGGCCCCTAGAATTGCTTTTTCAGATTCTGCAAAAAATTCCACTGGGCTTGCACTGAATCTGTAGATACATTTGGGTACATTTGGGACATTTTAACAATAGTCCATGAACACAGAAAATGGAAAATGTCTTGCCATTTATTTGTGTTTTCTTTAATCTCTTTCAGAAGTGTTTTGTAGTTGTCAGTGTACAGGTCTTTCATCTCCTTGGTTAAGTTTAGTTTATTCTTTTTGATGCTATTGTAAATGGATTGTTTTCTTAATTTCCTTTTCAGATTGTTTGCTTTTAGGGTATAGAAAGACAACTGATTTTTGTATGTTGATTTTGTATCCTACAACTTTGGTGAATTTATTAGTTGTAACAGTTTTTTCATGGAATCTTTAGGATTTTCTGAATACAAGATCATGTCATCAATGAACTGAGATTCTTTTACTTCTTCCTTCCCCGTGTGGATGTTTTTTGTTTCTTTTTCTAACCTAATTGGTCTAGCTAGGACTTTAGTACTATGTTGACTAGAAGTGGTCAGAATAGGCATCCTTGCCCTAAAACATAGACTTTTAAAATTTCTATTACATGATATTGGAAGGAGTAACTGAGAATGTTTCATTTTACTCCTTTTTAGAAGTTATCTGCTTACTTGATGATGAGCTAGAGGGACAGGAAGGAGAAGGAAGCAAAGACAGTTTTCTGAACCAAGGTATGTTCACCTTCAAGAAAACACTGACCAACGAGACAGTCCAAAATTGTAATCTGAATATAAATTTTATTTTTTCAAGACAAAAACCACATAAATGTGAATCAAATGGAAAGTGTTTGCAACCTAACTTATACTTTCTTAGTTATAATAAAAGTTATATCAGAGAAAACTCTTATGAATACAAGGAATGTAGAAAAGCCTTCAAAAACAAATTGTGTCCTATTAGACATGAAAAAAAGCACAGAAGGAAAAAAACCTTTGGGTGCAGTGAATGTGGGAAAGCCTTCCAAAAGAAGTCTCGTCTCATTAGACATGAAAAAAAGCATACAAGGAAAAAAAAAACCTTTGAATGCAGTGACTGTGGGAAAGCCTTTAACAGTAAGGGACACCTTGCAGCTCATCAAAAAATTCATAGTGGAGAGAGACCCTTTGTGTGCAGTGATTGTGGGAAAGCTTTTACGCATAAAGCACAACTCGTGGTCCATCAGAGACTCCACACTGGAGAGAAGCCTTATGAATGTGGTCAGTGTGGGAAATCATTCACCTGGAACTCCTCCTTTACTCAGCATGTGAAATCGCACACACCCGAGAACTCATTTGAATGTAAGGAGTGTGGGAAAAGCTTCAAGTACAGTTCATCCCTTTATAAACACTCCAGAATCCATACAGGCGAGAAACCATACCGATGCAGAGAATGTGGCAAAGCCTTTGCAGACTCATCAGTGTTGGTCATGCATCAGAGAATTCATACAGGCGAGAAACCCCATGGGTGCACTGAATGTGGCAAAGCCTTCATCAAGAGATCACATCTCCTTAAACATTACTCAACTCACAGCAGAGCAACAAAATAAATGCAACACATGTGGGAAATCTTTTAACTGGAAGATACATCTTATTCTCCATCAAAGAAGTCATAAAAACAAGGGAGCTTTGTAAATGTGGGAAAACTTAAAATTAGCCTTTTACTGAAGCAGCAAAGATTCATCATGAGAAAAACCCTATCAGTTGAATAAATGTGGAAAAGCATGTTCTGAAATTCATGTTCTGTAAGTGATATTACTAATTTTATTGAAAAGATTACAGAAAATTTTGAGCTACAGACAACTTTACAGTAAAACTGAGGAAGTTGTGAAAAAATTGAATAATTAAGGCATCAGACTGACTATAATTGCATGTGTACACTGCCCCTGATTTATGATTTTTACACAATTTATACAAATGTCTGCATTGCTTAAGGAATTGGTATAACCATGGGTTTGAAATATATGCTATGCACATTATACAAAATTTTATCTGTTGTAACGATGGTTGCATAACATTGTGAACGTACTTAATGCCAATGAATTGTACACTTAAAAATGGTTTAGATAGTACATTTTATGTTCTGTATATTTTACTACAATAAAAAATGTATAAATAAAACTTAAACCCCTTCTAAAATTATATCTGTTAAGATCTCTGGTAAACATCATCATTGTCTCTTCAAAGCCTAAAATCACCGTATCCAGATTTTCCAAATATAAAAGAAATAATACGGTTTATTATGTAGGATGAAGGTCAGTGCTATGAACTTGATCTCTAACCATTTCGTGGCACTTATGAATAGTTACGGCAGTTGTTACTGAGCCTTCTTGAGCCTCCTCTTAAATAATAGTCAGGGACAGTTATGAAGTCTTCTGCTCTGCTCAGCTGAGGACATTGTGTAATATGTTTTCTTCTCTGTGCAGAACGTGTGTGTGTGCATTTAATCCTGATTAACCAGACACTGAAGAAAGAAAACAGCTGTGTTCTGTATTACTCTCAGCACTTAGTACAGGG